TTTTGGTGGCTTGGCACTTAAGCAAATGTGACTTCTGGATGCCTCAAAGCAAATGTCCCAAACTTCTGCCTTTGGAAACCCAGGTCTTAGGCATACATAAAATATTGCCTTCCTTGGTGCCTGTGTTCACTGTCAGGTTTGCATGGCAGCGAAGCCAATCTGTTTTCTGGGAACATAGAGCAAGTTTTTATGTAAGATTAAATGAAATGGTGTGTGGAATTTCAGTGGGGAGGGGAACTGATGTTCTCCTGGAGAGTTCAATGCCTCCCTTGCTCAGCAGTATATGTAAACTGGGTTATGCCCATAGATTATGCTAAAAATAATGCATTGAGACCACAGCATGACAATTTCTGGTCTTGGCTCAGAGTGTATCTCACTATTTATACTGGCAGTCTTGTCTGGTGTGACCCGGCCAAGCGTCTGGACTTCCAGCAGTGTTAACCTGATGGTTATGGCCCAGAGTTAAATGCTTACTGAATGCATGCAAAAACTACGTGCAAGGATACTGTCTGCCTCTGAACATAAAGGCCGTGTCTTGAATCCTCACACATTTTCTTACTAGTCCCCCCTGTTTTGTTTTTGATCCAAACTCCTGTATGCTCCTGTATCCTTTTGCCGTGATGACTTTGGGAAATGCTTCGGCAGGCCTTCATTACTCTGTGCCTTCCTGTCATTATGGAAATCAACCGTCTGCCTACGGGGTGATGGCAGGTAAGAGACATATCCTTCACTAGGTGAGCTATTAGCATGTTGGTTTTGGCCAGTTTTCCTTTAGAGGGACTGATTCAAGATAGTTGCTTAAAGAAGACAGGATTGGGGTTAAGGCACTAGAAAAGGCTTTAGGAAACTAGGGGTCAGTGCCCAGTTTCCCCAAACCTCTGCATCTCTAGGGAAATCACTCTGTATCTTATTTCTCTCTCCAAGACTGGGACAGTGCTGCTCTTCTTGCTCACCTATGTCTATTTCTCCTGGTTTTCATCACTTTTGAGAGACCAGGAGTGATGCACCTGATATACTTGTGTGTTACCAATACCTGGGGTGATGGAGCTCTGACTGGAGCTATAAAATAAAATGGTGGCATAATGGAAGGACAGCTGGATTCAGCAGGCAGGTCCTACAGATGATCTTGGATTTTTACACTCGTGAACATAGGCTAGCATCCTGCTCAGTTTCCCATGTCCCAGGCTGATTAAGAAAATGGAACTGTTGTTCTATGCAAATTCAAGTCGCAGTCAATGAGATAATGCCATGAACCAAATTAACACAGCTCCCAGGAAACAATCGTGACTTGGAGATAATCCAAAATCAAACTCAGCATCTTATTTCATTTAAGAGCAAAGGAAACATCAGAGTAAGTCAACTTAGATGAATACATCTGCATAGGGACTTTCTAGGGACAGAGTGTAGACTTCCTTCATGGTGTGCAAATGTTCAAATGCTCCTGTTTCATTGTTCATCTATGAGTCTGTTGCAAACATTCCTGGCATTGTTGAGACTTCAGAAAAAGTTAATAGGTATTGAACAAAAAGCATCATTCTGTTCATTTTGTTTCATTCCAAAATAACTACATTTTCATTTTTCTCTTTTCTTTTTACACCCCCTCTTTTTTTTTTTTTTTTCAGGCATCAAGTCTGCCACTCCAGAGATGCTATCAGCAAGTCTCTCCCAGAGTCGCATCTTACAGACATGCAGCATGCCACACCCCAACGTGGTAAATGGTGTCAGCACCTTGCAAAGCAAGTCCTTCTCTTTTTTAGTCTTTTCCTTTATTCTTTGAGAAAATTTTTTTTTTTTTTTGTGGTTATCCCGTGTGAAGCATAAAATATTCTTATGGGATTAGAACCTCCAACATTGGTGAGAGCAACTGAGGCAGTGAGGACAAGAAAAGTAAATGGAGGAAGGGGTGGGAGGTTAATGAAGTTCTGAGTTCTGATACAACGTTTTGTGTAATTTAGAAGATGAGGAAGGATGTCCTGAGCATCTGGAATTTACTGACTGCTCCAAGTACACTGAAGAGCATTGATATTTCTCTAATAGTTTTTTTTTTTTTTTGCCCTTCAGGTTAGAAACTCTTTAGCTGTACGTATAATATCTAGCAAAAAAACCCAGCCTTCACTCTTAACTGAATCTCCTTTTTGTCTGATATTTGTGAACAAAGGTAGTATGAGGTAGTTTTGTTTTGTCCTTGAGCAATTTCTTTTTAAGCCTGAACAATCATTCTGAATGTGTTCTGGATTTGGGTTTTTTTTCTTCTTTTTCTTTTTTTTTTTTTTTTTTCTCTGAGCTCTTACCTGTGTACTTTCCTCAGACAAACTTCATGGGGAAGATAAACCAATATAGTATATTGTGTAAGCATCAAAATGTATTTATATGGAAATATTCTTTGTACCAGAAAATAGAGACTGGCACATTTTAGGTGGCTCAAAATGCCATAGATCCATCAGTCTTACTGTGTCACTTAATTCCAGCTGAAACCTTGGATTGTTATTTACTTAAGTTTGGACCATTTACTGTCTTATTTAAGTGCATCACAGTTTGCTAAGAAATTGGATGGCTGTGTCCTGTGAAAGTGGCTGTTGATTGGTTTTCATGTATTGGGAGAAGAGAGACTGTATCTCCTAGGAGAACTTGCTCTTGGGTAATTTTGCATAATATATGATAAATATTACAGACATGGATTATGAGATGGCGAAGGTGTGTTTTTATTGTGTAGTGGTAGAGAATAACTGTACTTAGTCTTCTTTTTGGTATTGCTCAGGTAGCCTGACCCCTTGCCTTTATAAATTCCCGGAGCACACCCTGAGTGCCAGCTCCTGTGCCCTGGGCCACAGCTTCACACCCATGCACCAGTCCCTCCTCACAGACGAACCCACTGCTGCAGACTTCAAGCAGGAGTTCCGCAGAAAAAGCAAGTCTGCTGAAGAGCCCGTCGACATGGACTCCCCCGAAATCAGGGAACTGGAGAAATTTGCTAATGAATTTAAGCTGCGGAGGATTAAGCTGGGTATGTGCTTTATGTCTGCGAACAAAAACTGCAAAATTCCAGCGAAAGCCCAATTATTTCTGAATGTTTTACAGACTGGCCTCCGCAGTTGTCTAGTCTGAACTCTAATCCTGCCTTGCACTGCCACACTTTTTCCATTCCTGAAAGACTTGTATGGAATTAATGAACTTCAGCTTTTTGCAACTTAGTACGCAGAAAGTGACTTTAAACTTTCCTGCCCTTAAATTGTTTGTCTGAAGTGCAGAGAAAACTATTGTTGTTCCCTGAATTACATTCAGTAGCAGGTGCATTATTTTGCACAGCCACAAATTTTCTGTAACTTAGTGCAGCACATGCTCTAACCTCTCATACCCATCCTCTTCCCCATGAAGTGCTTCATCTGATGGTGCAATGTCATTTCAGTATATCAGATGGGTGACATCCATGGCAAATCTTTCATACTAGTAGCAAGCTTCTCTTCCTCATTTAACTTCTTGTGCCAGGACACAGGTAGAGCAGCAATTGATATCTTTGTTGCTGTCTGATACTGGGACTGATGCAGGATGGATTGCATCAGAGGATCTCCAGTGAGGTGCTTGTCTTTCATGGGACAATCTTAGCTGAGAACAAAGGTGGACTGAGCCCTGTCTTTCTCACCTGTCAGGGATAGAGATGCATTGCAAAGTAAAAGCCTGTCTCAAACTTATTTGAACTGTACTGGAAAAAAAAAAACATTTACTGCTGCAGATTAATCCCACTTATGAATATTGGGTAATTGGAATGAAGAGCTGCAATTTTAACATTATCGTTTATAACGTTGCACCGTATCATTACAAGATAGGCCATCCTTCCAGCTATATAAATGCAAAAAAAAAAATAAGGTATCTATGCATTATCTCAACAGCTAGAACACCAGTGTGTTCCATTTGCAGTGTAAAAATAAACACTGAAACAAAAATTTAAGAATTAAAACAGTATTTGCATCTTGGCCAGTTATGCTGTCTATCACGTATGTAATGTCAGCAACAGCAATGGAAAGGTTTGCTGGGCCCCAGGCTGTTAATCACTGTAATTATTACTGTGTCTTAATCCTGGGTTTGTGAGGAAACAAAACTTTTTCTGATGAAAACAAATGACACGGAGCCTGTGAGACTGGGCTTAATGATCTGATGGGAAAAACGCAGTTTGTACAGGAAAACTCATCTGAGATGAAGCTTTACAAGGGAGGACACAGTTAATATGGGCTGTGGGTCTGAGACTGAGAGACACAGAGTCAGTGCAATCAAAGTGGAGGTATAAAAGCTGTCTCGTGAGACATTCGGCATTTAAAGAGAATCCTGCCTGTTCTGGTGCAGAGGCAGAAAGGGAGGACGATGAGCCAGACCCCTGAACATGGCAGATACACATTCAGAGCACTGAACAGGGAGCTGCTGTTACAAAGTCAGTGTCTGCATGGAAACTCCAGCATTTCTCTAATCACTTCAACTTAGTTGTGGCACCAAATAACAGGACAGCAATGGTGCTGTCAGGGATTAGCTTATTGCTATTGCACCATCTATAGAAAGAGAGATACAGGGTGTCTGGATCCTTCTCAAATCCTTAATCTTGGAGTGTAAAACTCCACTGAAACAAACAGCAGACTAAAAGGTCTCTGAGGTGAACTCAGAGTCTGCCACAGAGATGTCCGCAAAAAGCCCACCCTGAAGATGCTGCAGACACACTGCTCATAAGAGTCAGCAGTGAAGGGCTAAGTGTCTCAAGGAAAGTAAGCCTTTCTAGAAAGCTCCAAGGAGATTTTTTTCCTCTTCATTTTTGACAGGTTATACACAAACCAATGTTGGAGAAGCACTGGCTGCTGTGCACGGCTCTGAATTCAGCCAAACTACTATTTGCCGGTTTGAAAACTTGCAGCTGAGTTTCAAGAACGCATGCAAGCTGAAATCAATACTATCCAAGTGGCTGGAGGAAGCAGAACAAATAGGAGGTAGAGAATTGAAATCCTCTAAATATTGATTTACATTTAAATCAGAGTCCTGTGTATGTGCTGAAAGACTAATACGTGTCTTCCATTGAGTAAAGATTTTGTTTTACCAGCTTTAAATACTAAGGTGTGTTTATATTAAATTTTTGTTATCTTTTTTTTGGGTGAGCAAGGAGGGGCAAGCTAAAATGCTTGGAGGGTACAGAATAGCAGAAATATCACTTGGCCTACTGGAATTAATTTCTTTCAACCTCATCCCAGCAAACTAGCTCCACACCTGTAGCATAAGTCAGAGCTGTTATTAGGATCTGCAGGATGCCCATTTAGCAGCATATGGGGATTCTTCACTAGCAAAGGGCTCTTCCTTCCAACATCTGGCATATGAGATGTGGCCGGAGGAAAGGATTTGAGTTCAATTAAGGCAGTGGTCTTTAAACCCCGAAGAAGAACAGGGTGGCATAGAGGTTTTTGATGTGACCTTTTTGCTGCTAGAGGATTCTCTTCCTTTTGCCCAGTTACTTTCCAGTTGCAGGAAGAGTCATGGGGTTCACTGGGCAAAGTGTACTTTAGAACAAGTTGGTTGATTTAAAGGAAATGGGTTGCCTTAAAGAACACCCTTTTCAGCTGGATGAATTGAAATGCTGAGGAGCAGTATGCCTGGAGGTGACAGCAAAAGCCAGGACTACCACTGTGCAGCACTCACCTAGCATGGGAAGAAAGAGAAGCTGATCTTAATGCTACTTTTTGGATTTGCCATTGTATTCAACGGCAGGAAACTTGTTAAACATCTCCTTCTGCCACACACTTCAGTTTCCTTTGAACCAAATATAGAAGGCTTCCTTCCCCTGTAACTGCACTATAAACCAGAGGCTCTTCTAATGTGGCCGGCACACCGCAAGAACTGCTTGTTGAGGATGTTGGGGTGGGTAGCAGCTGCTGACCACCTGAGCAGCTTTACAGGCTTGAGCTGCAGGGTAAGAGCATGTGTACAGGCAGTGGCCTCTGAGAAGTGAGGGGGGACTTGTCTGTCAGAAAGCAGGGTGAACCAGACAGATGAATAGAGGGTTGGAGGCCATGGCTGTATTTCTGAAGAAAGAGGATGAGGCAGCCAAAGGGCATGGAAATAGACTCCATCTCCCTAGACTGTACCCTGCAGGGCAGGAGGAACAAGGTATGTCAAAGGAGGGGCTGAAGTACAGCTCCACAGGTACGTAGGCACAGAGCCAGCACTGTTCACAGCTTTACCGGTGGCACACCATTTTTGTGCCGGAGGTAAAACAGTGATCAGCCATCTTAAAGAAAATTCTTGTATGTGTGGTGCTGCTCTTACTCAGTGACATTATCTTTCTTCTGTTTTCAAAGAAAGGGACTTCTTTTCTGGAGAAGATTGTGCTTGTTTTCCATTCCCTGTGGAAGGTAACTGCTGGGTTTTGGTTTATTTTGTTTGAATACAGCTTTATACAATGAAAAAGTTGGAGTGAATGAGCGGAAGAGGAAGCGCAGAACCACCATAAGGTAATAAATATTTAGGGTGTTACATGCTAGAAACCACTTTGGCTAAGATGCTTCTTTTTCAAAATCAAAGTGTCATTTTCTATTAATGAATCTCTGTAGCTGGTGCTTCAAGATGTTTCACTATTTTGAAACATTCTAGTGGAAAATAACAGCAAAATCCCAATTTGCTCCAAACATAAATCTTTTCCCAATTAAAGACTTTTTTTCAACATATGACAACACACTTTAATATGAAAAAAATATTTTATTCCAGTTCTTCACAGATTTTATGGAATCTATATAATGAATAAGGTATCACAGCACCCTTGTTTTCATTTTTGGAGGTTCTACATTATATCAAAATAAATTGCATTATTTGGCCAGAGAATTGAGGTCTGGGAAGTTTGAGGACAAGCTTTTAACAAAATGTTGCATTCCTGTCCCTATACTCTGCCACTGGATTCTTTGGAGTTCCCAAAGAAACACTTCAATGAGCTAAAGAGAAAAACCAGTGAGTTATTCTGAGAACCTCCTTCTGTTTCTCACATCTCTGGTGTCCAACATCTACTACCATCTATCTAGCCTCAACCTCACGGTAAAAACAAGTAGGCTGGTTAAATCGTATTACAAAACCAAACACCAAATAGGCAAAATGAGAACATGGGGTATTTTCTTCTCCTTTAGATATCCCAGACTCTTATTACTTTTGGTGAAGAAGAATTCACTCTGGCGGCCTCCAAGGAGCTGTAGTGTTCTTCCAGAGGAAGGGAATTTGGCTGCCTTTGGGCACAATCCTGGTGCTGTTGGGCCCTACCCATTACAGTGAATTGCCTGGTTTTTGAACAGGGATCCTTCCCGATGTGCAGTGACACCTCCCAGAGCCATAGGCTGCTCTATAGTCCCACAGCCACAACATGTACCCTTTCCTCTTACATTCAACTTGAGACTTGTTTTTTGAGTCATATTGCCTTTGATATAAGGAATAAAATGAAGATGTGATTTTTCTCTGTTTTTTTAAATAAGTATTCTTCTAAGAAGATCCTTCTCAATTAGCAGTGAACTGGGGATGGGAGACGCTTCATAGCTTGTTTGCTCATCACAGCATCTCACAGCAGATGAAGCTTTACTTTTGGGAGGCCAGTTTCTCCTCTCAGCTTCTCTGCAAGCCAGTAAGGACTTGAGCAGCAATGCAGAGACCTTGCCCGGTTTATGTAGTACGGCCTGCACAAGAGCTGTGAGTTGAGAGCATCTCGGTCCTAGGTGTTTTCTCCTGGCTAGAGGAGCCCACTGAAGACCACTCATCTAACATCATGGGTTTTGGTGTTGCTTTTTAACAGCTATTGAGGAAATCAGTCCTTGTATTAAGCTTTTTTTTTTTTTTTTAATTATTCTTGCTTTTACATCTAACACCACTGCACTGGCACTATCAAATACGGCAGGTTGTCAAGGGCACAGATAACTGAGATGAAGTTCAGGTCCAAATCCCATATAGTAAGAAAATATTAATTGTTCCTTTGAAGGCATATAGGGCCTCAGTTTGAGTACCTCAAACTAATCAGGATTTTATCTGAACTGCAGCCTTACTCTTAGCAATTCTTAATGGATGTTTGAAGGTAAACTAGAGGTAAACCAAAAATCCCACTAATTAATTTAGGTTAGCCATACCCTGAGCAAAAACTACATAGTTTGAATTTGTGGAAGCTATTTTATTTTCTACTTTGATTAGAAAGCCTAAGAAAATCTTAGTCAAAACTAATGATGTTTCTAGAACTCTATGTGTGCAGAACACCATGCTATTAATTAGGTAATTTTGGTAACATTACTAAATACTGCAAAATAGACCTATAAATAAAGACCAGCAAGGTACTACAGATGAGGTAATGAAATAACTGTAAATCTAGCAGATACTTTGTATATTTCTGTAACAGAAATATCTCTACCTCATTTCCAGAATAATGCATGAAGTGCCCTCTAGCGTCCAAAGAAATTACAGCTACTATTGAAGCCAGTTTTGGATGCATCCCGTTGGCACACAAGCGTGTTGCAGACACTTTTTTTTCTGAGAATACCTAACACAAACGTGAAGGAAATTCTCTTTGTCAATAAGAAAAGATAAGAGTCTTAACTTATTTTGTTTATTGAACCACTCAACTTTGTTCACTAATGGTTGTGAGAAACAGATGGAGGCAGACTTTTAGAAAATGTGAAGATTGCTAAAACAGATTACCGTAATCTCTGTGATTTCTAGAAATACTTTAGTGCCCTCTCTATAACATAATGAGATGCAGAACTTGATACAATATACAACATTTCCCAAATTGTAAGTGGTGGAGCTCTTCCCCTTTGTAAACCCAAACGATTTGATACAACCAGGTAACCCCACGGATGTGCATTTGCTGAATCTCTATGACACTGCTGTGACTGCGGCAGAATGGGCGGTCAGGCTTGTTCCAATCCCTGTGATCCAATTCATGTCTAATTGCTGTATCTCTTAGAGAACATCGAGGAGCATAAATATTTCATGATTACCACGGAAATTGCACCAAACTCGATGCTACTTTTGCTTTAAATTACTCTGTGGTGAAATCCTGTGTGATGTCATGGTGTTCATGTCAGCAAAGAACTACAGTGTACTCTAAGCTCTCTGGTTTTCCTTTACATAGAAAAAGAGGAAAGAAACTAAGTCACTGCCTTCAGTGTTGTTGTTTGACCCTTCTCCTGAACTAGTGGTGAAAGCCTGAATGTGTCAGAAATGTTTTTAAAGATGATATTTTATCCCTTTATCCAGTATCGCTGCCAAAGAAGCCCTAGAGAGGCACTTTGGAGAACAAAGTAAGCCTTCTTCTCAGGAAATTATGAGGATGGCTGAGGGGCTCAATCTTGAGAAAGAAGTTGTGAGAGTTTGGTTTTGCAACAGAAGACAAAGGGAAAAAAGAGTGAAGACAAGTTTACATCAGAATGCCTTTAGTTCTATTATCAAGGAGCATCACGAGTGCCGGTAAAGCTTTTCCATGCATAGACGTGGATTTCTGTTCTGCTTTTTGTGAATATTGTAAATAATATGTTGAGGGGTTTTTTTTAAAAAAAAAAAAAATAAATCAGTAAACCACTTGTTTCTCTTACAAGCTAGCCAGCTTCAGATGTAGTATGTTGTTGAAGACACGATTTTAACGTAAAAGGTTGGAAACAGATTAAATGCTACTGCATGTATTTAAAGAGTTGGAAGTCTCTGCTTAACTGCAAGGAAGCTATTATGCATTATTCAATTAGAAATGCTTTCCAAGTTGCTCAAGTACTTGCAGTTTCCTTGTGCCGTGCCTTTCTTGTATCTGCGGTATGTTTGATGATTAATGGAGAACCCCATGAAATCACCCTAAGCATCAGGAAACAAAGCCTTCACCTTGTATGTGAAGAAAGGTTACAAAGCTTGATATCAGCAGCTATAGTTTTGAAAGAACTTTGCCTCTGTGGGCCCATGCACGTGCTATACCCCCCACCCCACACTAACTAGCTAACTGCGCTAACCTTTGCAAGATTGTAAGCCATCAGGCATGTGGCAGGGTCCCGCCTCCAGCAGTGAACACTGAGCTCAGCAAACTGAGCATCAGTGAGAAATTAGATCTTCAAAGAAGAGAAGGTGAACGAGTGGCCTTAAACAAGCAGTGGTGACATTGCTGAATATCTAGTTATGGCCAAGGATGGGATATACCCACAAGATCTTGTGGGACTGCAACTAGATCCGAGTGCCACACAGAAGAACGCTAGGTGAAGAGCTGTGTTTCCAAAGGACGGTTCAAACTCAGCTACCTGCTCACAACAGCTGTACACCTCCGAATCATCACAGGCGAAGTCCTTGTGTAAGTTCAGGACAAAGCCATTAGAAACATGCTATAATTCCTGTCATTATTTATGGTAGAGTAAGCTTACAGAGTACACCTAAGTACAGAGGTGACAACACCATTCCTACTGTGCTCTGTCTTCACGTACCACTCAACCACCTTAAACGGGTGCAAAGTAGAAGTGACTCTTAATGCTTATCGAAGGTAATTCTTGCTAATTTACCATATGCCTTAAAGTTTGATTTGGATAGGCTTAGCTATAAAAATTAGGATGCAATTTACCTTAAGACTTTGTGGCTTGAGGGGCGAAAAAATAGAGAAGTATCAGGGGTTTTATTACTTTGGGCTTTCCCTGCATTGTTTTTTTTTTTTTCCTGATTAAATCCATGTGTGGACATACTTACACCCGAGAGTGTGTTAAGCTAAAAAAAGGCCTTTTTACTCCAAAATAAATATCCACGCAAAGCATTTAGTGCACTGCACGTTCCCACTCTCTTACACCCCACTAATTGAAAATTATCTGTTATTTGTCATCCTCTAGCCTGAGACATAATCCAGGAAAAAAAAAACCTGTGCCAGAGCTCCACCCAGCAGAAAGATGGGCACTGAGAAACTTAATTAATGACTATAGTACTCACCAGGGATAGATTATCCAGCCGTCTCATCAGCCCTGCTCATTGCTATTAGAATAGCCCATTACCACATATGTATTTTTGACTGTTTTCCCAGGGCTGAAATTGAGTACACACAAGTAGTAATGGCCAGATACATTTTATTTTTCCATAAAACAGGCCTGATGATTTAGAAAATGTCTAGATAATAGGCCCACAGAAAGCAAAAGGAGTTTAATGTTCAAGACCACTTAGAAGCAGTGTGTTCAAGTTAAGTGCTCTGTCTCTAGTGTACATTAAATTATCTCTGATACCTATTACAGTGACCATAGGCGTATTCAGCTATGGAAATCAGTCTCCTGGATTAAAAAAAAATACATTTTTATGGATGAATGCATTGCTGTAACCCCTTAATTTAGAAGAAAACTTTGATTTCATAACTCAAAGGGGAGAAACTGTGCTATGTACTCTCCTCAGGCTGTTCTCATCACCAGCATAGCTCACCCACTACAGCAGAGAAAGACCAAACTGTAGCTTTTATCAACCACATGTGTATCCGACAGATGATGAATTTTCCAAAAGGATGAAAGATACAGTTGAGAACATTAGCACTCAGTAAAGGTGGTGGCATGCATTTGTGTACCTTTCATGTTATGTGATCTAATGTTATGTATGTTGAAACTATCTGATATCCATACATTTTATTTACATTCTAAATTATTTTCTCAATTATAAGAGACTTCCTATAAATGCTATAAGCCTGTACTTCCCAACCCTCCCATCCAATAAAGTATTCTTACACATTTGTATTCCAGGTAATGGTTTGTAGTTCTGTTTTGGTAACACTTGACTTTTTTTAATTGTGTATCATGCTGATGTGCTTATTCATTTTAACATGCTGTAATACTTGATTCAAGAGCAGACTTACTGTAACATTGTGATTTCTAGTCTTACACAAAGTCTTACAAATGAAGGCTAATTGCAGAAGCATGGCAAAATAAAACTAAAGGTGACACATAACGTCACTTTCTTGCAAAACAATGACAAAAGGCTAACTGCAGGAAGCAGCCACTGTTTAAACACATCTAGCTGTTGCCACTGAAATACAAACAAATTAGAGTAGAACTGTTTAAAGAAAAAAAGCTGGATGAAATCAATTTAATGTGCTGCAGCTGCAGCCATTAGATTTTAGAGAAAGTGCCAATTCATTTATTTATGGGTTTTTTTCCCAGTAGGAACAACTTACTGGGTAATTGCCATCAATCACTCTTGATTGGGGAAAACCCCCTAGATAAGAATTCTGAGGGGTAACTTTATAAACCTGCAAGTAAGAGTCCAGCTGGCCATTTGAGCAACATGGGCTGCACTATTTTTCATCGAGATATTTGTCAGGTTTTTTCTTGCTCTTACTTTTCCCACAGTAACTTTAGGCAGGGTGTTAAAACCAGACTAGAGGACAAAACAAGACATTATGATCATGTATAAATCTGTGGTTTACCTGTCTCCGAAGTACTGTGTAGCATTCTGTCTCCCTCATCTGAAGGATGCAACAGGCCCCTATGCAGGCAAAGCTGATGATCAAAGGTAAGATGAACAACTGTTTGAGCTACTGTCACTCTTCTGCGTTCAATGTGTGCGCGCTGAATGCTATAGAGGTCTACTGAATTGTGGGCTGTATTGAGGCAGGCTGTTCACCATCTTGACTATTGTTAAGAACTAGGAGTAAGCATGTGAAGCTGGAAAGAAGCTTAAGAAAAAACAAAAGTGGTCATTCTTAATGTGGTAGGGAAAAATCCGTGGACCTCTTCTATTAAAAAAAGGTGGGTGTCAGAAGTTTATTTATATGGACAAGTTCACAGGTGAAAAAGCCACTCAAAGCTGTTGTATATAAAGGAACTTACATATGGCTCTGGAAGTGCTTTAAATTGAAAATAATTAGAGGTTGGAAGAATATTAGGGCAGGAAATGTTGTCTGCATTTATCTCGTTCTTGTATTTTCCTGGGCATTGCTTATGGGCACCTGTGGAGTAGGATTCTGGGTGAGATGGACCTCAGTCTGCCCCAACAGAGCCATGCGTAGGTGTACACACAAGTGCATTGCTGTTCTTGGATGGAGGACGTTCAGATTCAGTTGCTATCAAGGTGTCAGCGAGGATAAAAGAGTTTAGAGTTTGAGTGGGCCTGGTTTTTTTAGTCTGCTAAGAGTGATTCAAAAGGAATTTGTTTCCAAGTACAGGATGCAATTTCGTATAGACTGCTACAACATACTAACTAGAATTGAAATAACTGTAAGCAAGCCTGCAAACCTACACCACTTCTCACTCTGCTACTGAAAAATTTTATACATGCTGAAATTTTTATACAGATTAGAGCTGCAGGACTTAAAGGTAGTAACTGTTAACAGAAACACTCGGTAGATACTGACAGTAGCCCTAGTTCAGCAGCCTTACTGACACCAGAAGGCAATGCCTTTATTCCTGTTCATCAAAGACCTCATAGTTAGAGGAAAGAACTCAGAATTATGCCCAATTTCAACAGTCATGAAACGGATAAAGTGCACACTTCACTCAGAAAAGGACGTAAGCCTTGGTGTTCAACCAAAACACAATCAGTAACATTTTATACCTAACTACTTTCACATTATGGATTCTCCTTCAATGCCTAAGAGCAGTACTTGGGCATCCGGTTATAGACAGAAGGGAACGCAAACACAAGCAAGTCTTTACTGAATGTTCAGTTTAAGTCAAAGGTCCACAAGCAACTACAACAAGTATTATGCTGCTTTGTAACTCAGATCAAAGGAAAATTTATCAGAGCTAACAGGAGTTCACTAACAGACAGACGTTTAAGACTAACCCTACAGAGGACACAGTCATTGTGGAATAAAAAGCCTTTTATTAGATCTTTACAAAATAACTTGTAAAAAAAAAAAGATTCACCTTATATGCAATATATAAACTTACACATTCCTACCCACTACCTCACAGATTCATAGTTTGTCCATTAGTTCCTTCAAAGAGAAAGAACACCTGTATTTCTTGCCAAAAACCAGCTGAAGGCTCACCTATGTTTTTTCTTTCTCTGCTGACTTCAATCCTAAAAAGTAAGCAGATGGTGCAACAGCAGTAGATTCATAGAGGTTATGGTTTCTTGCTACAAATTCTCTAGCAGCAAAGTCTCTTTATGAAGTTTCTTTCCCCCACAGTTATCCTGGTTTTACTCTTGGGAGGTATTTTGCTTTTCTCTTTTTAAAGCCACAATGATTTTGTTGTTTCTTTTCAATGAACAGCTCCACTAAAGCAGCACCACTGAGGGGCAAATAATCTCCATCAGAGTGAGGGCTGAGGAGCTTCGCACCATCTGGGAAGTCATAACTGGGAACTGCATTCTCAGACCCTGTCACTTATTTAAAATATCAACAGTTCTTATTTCATTAGCCCAATGCATTCCACTTTAAGCCAGAATCATACTGATGCAGTTCAGAGACCATAGCAAAACCTTCACAGAACCAGAACACTTTTATTATAGTGTTTAGACAAGTAACTATCAGGTATCACCCAAAATTGTTCTCAAAACTAAAATTTTGATTTAGCTTATCAATGTGATCAATTGCATCTTAGTAAACAATACAATTATGCACAGTTATCTTCCCATTAAGAAATACTGCAAAATATATACAAGTGTTGTTTCAGGCAAATGTCCTTTTTGAAAGTGCACAAGTTGCATTTCTGAACAGGTGCATTTCTGAACTTCAGCAGCGAGTCCCATCAACTGTACACAGAGGTCTTGCCATAGCGTTTTGTGAAACCATCTTAATTACAAGTTTACTCACCCTTCAAAGACTCATTCTGAAAAAAATCACAAAGGTACAAGATTTATATACATAAAGGCACAGCAATTCTGTTGAAACCAGCTATGTTTCAGTACAATAGAGTTCAATCAGTGCCTTTCATGCAACAAAGTTCACTAACAAATTTAAATCCTCTTCCAGTAAAATTAACTGCACAAGGATGGTATCCTTCCCTTTCGATTAAAAAAAATAACCAGCTATTATTTAATTAACTCAAAGTTACTACAGGAACTCGAAAGAAATACATAAAATGCTTTTTCTTTCTGCTTAAATTAGCTAACTTTCAAGGCTAATTCTCATTAAAAGAAACCAGCTTCCAACTAAGAGTAAATGTGAAGTTTCATTTGTGCTAAGATGACAGACTAAGAATTTCTCTATAGCAACAGTTTTATAAAAGTGATACATATTATATAGGTACTGTCCTAGGAGGCATCACCACCAGCCACATAAAAGCCAATTCTAAAGATAGATCAGGAACTGAGATAGAAGAAAACTTTGAATTCAGAGGACAGATTCAGATCAGGTATAAATAAATTTTTCATTAGAACTACATCCCTGGTTGGTCCAGTGCTCAAAAAAGACTGTGCAGTGGACACACCAACTGTACTTCTCCCTGTAAATTGATCCAAAACATTCTCCCCTTCTCCTTCCCCCAGTTCAACTTCAAGTTGTCATTTCTGAAGCTTCAGAGTTTTCCCAGACATCAGTTGCACTGAAACAGTATTTGCACTTTTTACATCTGTCTGCAGCTGAATAATTAGAAGGCAGACTGCATATTGCCATCAAGCTAATCAACTCCCAAAGCTTTGAGCTGTCGTTCAATCTCTTCATCTGATATGGTAGAAGTTTTTGATGTTGATGCAGATGGTAAGCCTCTGGCAGCTGACGGAGCTTTGGCCATCTAGAAGAAGACAGAATTATTTCTCAGTCAAAACAATGTTATGAGAAGCTGACTTCTAGAACAAGACTGTAAAATAAAGGCTGCTAGAATAAATTATTTTTTAAAAGGGAATGAAGAGGAAGAAGCACATGGACTGGGTAAAACTAGCCATACCTTTCCAGAGATTTCAATTCCTATCTCATCAAGCACTTGGTTAACAATATCTTGGCTTTCTTCCTCTTCGTCAGAAGCATCAAAAATATCATCCAGAGTATCATTAACTTAGAAGAAAAAAAGAAATCCACACTTCATTAAGCAAAAAGGTTACTAAAATAACCTAGTACCACCCTTCTACTCTCCCAGAACACAGTACTAATACCACGGTATAAGATACCAACAGAAAGCACCTGTATATAGGAGAGGCTTTACCTCTGCCTTGCAAAGCCTGTGAGCCCAGCTAGAGCAACAACGGGGTAAGTAAGGCACAACTGCTTTTATAAAAATGTTTAGTTTCACCAAAATAGTTCAGTTGCTCTATCTCCCCCTACTAGATTTTAACATTTCTTAAAAACATCTTCTACAGTTCAAATAAAAATCCCCTTCCTCTTCCTCCTCCAAGTAAATTGTGAAATTGTTAACTACGCAGCTGATTTCTGAATTGCGACAATACAGTTCTGTGTAGCTGAGGTGTTCACGTCTTGCTCAAAAGTATTGTTTTGAGTCCATGCTACTTTCTACGGCCAGCACAGCGGCAGGGATTAGGATAGGAAGGAGACTATGCTAGCAACGCCAGGAAGCTTGCTATTAGTTAGTTGACAGCGGACAGATGCGATCAGGAGCAAGAAACTTGCCAGCCCCCAAGAAGTTGTTTGTGGCTTAAAATAAAAAGTGAGACACAACCATCCCATACCACCATGAATGTAAAGCTGAGATTATCAGCAATATATAAATTAAGTGTCCAGTTCCAGAAGAAAAAGTACATGCAGAACTATCAGCTACAAACCCAGCATTTTTCCAGTCCCCCTACCAGTTACACCAACAAGGTTTTGAACTGGTCTCAAGCCCTCTTCCCTTCCAGTAAGTTCTTTCTAGAAGTACGATGGGTGTTTTGCATGAAGATGGGAGGGAATGGACTCTAGATTATCTAGAGCTACTAAAAAGCTTAAAGCTCAGCCTCCCTCCTCAGACATGCACTGTTTTGTTTGCTCTTCATTTTTGCTGTCAATCTCATTAATTGCAGAAATAAAACTTCAAGCATCAGTATTTCTAAACTGGTTCTATCCTTCCAAGAACACTGTGGGCTGCAGCCAGCTGTTCCCTAAAGTGCAGAACTTACTCATTTCTTCAGTCATTTCCATCTTCATGTTTTCCTTCTGGAAATTCTGCATAGTTTGTAGTGTCTTTTGTGGATCCATTTTCTTATTAACTGCTTGCATTGTCTATTAATATTGAAAAAAACAGAAATCGTACAATGAGACATTAGTAAATACCAATATATATGTTAAGAAGGAATAAAACTTTTCTAATGGAAAAAACCTTCAGCCCAAATTTCACTTTCCTTTTCTCTTTACGTCCCATGAGAACTGTAGATACACAACAGATCAATAGTACAGTCTGCACCTAGTAGGAAATACCTCTATCTGCTACCCTAACAGGTAAGCTTTTAAATGTATGCATCTTTCTCCCATCATGACCCTTCTCCTGGCTTTATATTAGGAAAAATCTGCCTAATCTAAATGAAAAGAATGGGATAATATTTCCTAACTTGCAGGCTATACACTTTAAAGTGGTAAATGGCTGGAGGCTTTTTAATCAGTAAGGTACATTTATTTGAACCATTACTAGAGGACAGGCATTAAATTGCTATTGTTTCTTTATGTTATAATTTAATGGAAAAATTGCTTTTCTCTGAAAAGCAAACATCAAAGTGTTCAGAAAGTACGTATTAGCTTAGGGTGAACCTTTGCAACGGATAGAGTTCTTTCTGTGACAATGTAATAAACTTCACCTGGTTTACTACAAGTATGCAGCACTGCCTTTGCAGGCACCAGTATTTAATACTTCCTCCTTTCCTAAGCAGCAAGGTACTCTCTCTCTCACGGGATGTCAAAACCTACATACAGACATGAGCAATTCAAACGTGAAGTCTAAGCATCTTTGAGAAGATAAACAAGTTGGTTAATTAAAAGGCAGGCTGTCAAGCCACTACAGCTGCTACTGGATTCACAGAAGCTCTTCTTGCCTTCATGTCTGAGTTTGTTTAAAGTGGTAACGTATTATGCTTCTAATGTTACTTGGATTTCAAACACTGTTCATAGTCACATTTGAATTTAAAAAGTTGTTCTGGACTTAGAGGGCATTGATTCTTTAGAATTCTTTTACAAGAGTTACAGTTAGACATCCAAAATATTTGCACTAAACTGATACAGCGTTCATATACCTTAGAAAAAAAGGCATGATTAAAAGAAACAGGTAACTATTAACTGGACTTTACTATGTCCAAAATTGGTGCCATACATGCTAAAAAGTATATAGAAAATAACTTGAAACCTTCTTACTCGTGCGTGTCTTGCTTGTTGAGGCAACTGATTTCATGTATCTTTCACTGATGGTTGTATGAGATTAAGAATAGTTTATAAGCTTCAAAATGAACGACTGAATACTTTTCTTTTATAAGTTTCCCATGTTGATGAGGCAAAATACTCATTTTTAGAAGCAACCAAAAGAATTTAGTGTCTTCCTCTTCAATAATGCTACACAAACTAGTCCATAGAGGTACCTGCTGTGCTTCAAAAAACATCACTTTTGTGGATACTGGTTAATTTATTTTTTAAAATAAACTGACCTTCATAATTAGCCTAGTAACACTTTGGTTTTGAGAAATTTAATCCAAGACATCTCATAGATAAAAACAAGTCAACAATGTAGCAATTAAAAAGAAAGCCCAATTAGTTCACGTGCAACACTGTTGTAGGAATACTGGGGAAGCTGCTTAACTTCATCAGTTGTACAGTCAGACAAACCCTCCCTGTGTGGGTTAGTCACAGAGGATGGAAAGTTTGCTACAGAGCCACAACTTTGTACCACTGAACAGCTGGTATCTGCCAACATATTGTTTCTAAAAGCTACCTGACAGCAAAGCCTCAGCAGTAACAACCTTCCGCACTAAATTGCGTCGCATTACTGTGTTTACTGGCACATAACTGGATTTAACTTGGACTGTGATAGCAAGCACAACTTGTCTACCATGATGCATGTTGTTTCCTACACCTCAAGCTGAACAATCTTCCTTGCCAAAAGCAAGCTCCCTGTTTATCAATTCAGGGAAATAAGGGAACGTTCACAACTATCTCGTGTAACTGAGATTTTTCACTCTTATGAGATGAGATTTGTGGGAAAACTTAATGCAACACTGTTTCCTCAGAGCACAGAGTGTGAGAATGACAGGGAATCCAGATTAGATTTCCTTAGGAACTTAAGGTCCAATGCAATAACCTACTTTTTGCACAAACCATAAAGCTATTGTGGCACGCTGCCTTGATGTCTAGATGAAGCATACCATACTTTTTCCCAACAAAAATTGTTTGTGACAAGATATACAGGCAAGGCACTGTAGCAGCATGGTTTGGGTTTTTTTTGATGTACTAAAAGAGTTCTTCCACTGTCATTAGAGTTTGTTTTCATCATGCAAACATTTGACAGATGTCAAGCCCAAGAAAATATGGTTAGTTAGGTGCTAAGTGGCTGGACTGACTAGACAAACATTTCATAGTATGAATCAAATTACATTTCCTCAACACCATTTGGGGTATTAAGCAGTGAGATTTATCCCTTCAATTATCTTCTACAAAATAACACAACTTTCGCAACCATATGCTGCACTTTAATGTAAAAGAGAATGTCTTGTAATGCCTTACTTTTGCTGTAGTTGACATAGCTCCTGCCATCTTCATCTGAGAGTTCATGACCTTTGTTTGAGTCGACATAGAAGTGACTTTAGAGCTAACAGCGTACGTTCGATTTTTCTGCTTCCGCAGTTGTACAAGCTGTTTTGCCAGCACTTTACAGGCTTCTTTGTTACCAGTCTTAGCCATTTTCTTTATTTCCAGTTCCTGTTAAAAAGGTGTAAGATTAATTCTATGGAATTTTCATTCAAAGACTATAATTAAGCCTTAACACTAATAATTAAATTCCAAAAGTTAACTATCCACTTGAATTTTTTTAAAGACATTAAAAGTTATATAAATAGCCTTCCTTGCTTTTCTACCAAGGCTATTTAGTAGAATAAATGCAATGCTGTTATGATTTGACCAGAAGAAAAAAAAAAACACAACAAAACTGAATCATAGTATGGTAGCACACAGGTCCCCAAAAGACTTCAACTTCTGCATTACATCACATTCACTTATATGTATGTGCACATTCAATTCCATATCTGGATAGGGAGGAACACTTCAAAGAAAAAAAACCCCACCAAAACCTAAAAAAGTGAAGAAATTATTATGGCCAGACAACTATTAGTGCCATGAATCTAATCATCTTTGGTTTCTTGCATTCCTGGGCAATCAAGCCATGTTACCCGTGGAAGAAACGGGGAGTTCATAGGTTCTTTGTAACACTTTTTCAGCCTTGAGAGAATCTCATAACTTTTTTTGGGAAGTAGATAAATTCAGATGAGCAATAATTATAGGCTGTTTGCCCACATAATTTAGCTGGATTTCACTTAGCATGTATCAGAATTGGTATAATTTGTCTACAACAATGTGCTTAAACCTTAAGACAGACACTTCTGGCTTACAAAAAAAACCCCAAATCTCAATCTAATCGCAAGATATTTAGCCCAGAGGTACCAGGAAAAATTTTGGCCCGAATAATCTTGTCAGCTGGGATTTTTTCAAAGTATGCCTTCTCATTTGTGACTTGGTAATGTAAACTTTTCAACTATTTTTTCTTTTTCAGTGTTTTTAAGAAGGGCTTGCCATAGTATCTCATTTCTTTATATATGTCTAATTGTACATTCTTATTTTTACCGTTAGGTAAAAGAGGTTTTTAAAGACTAGCCTTCTCCTGTGATTCCTCATGAGCATATACCTGCTACAGGAATACAGTTGCTTCACTTTATGTGTGCTGGTAGTCCAGAAAACTGCGCTTATAGGAAGATACGTTGCTCTGAAAAGGTAAATACTTGTCACCAGGATATGCAAAACAGTCATGTTTAAAGGCAAGCGTAAACTGATCCACTGCATTAGCTTTACTGCCAGGGAAGACCATGGTTAAGTCTACTATAGAGATGGCACTTAGCACAAGATCTTCTCTGTAAATCCGTAATTTCTGAAAGGCTGTATCATATTTTTGATCCAAGAAGGTACAGATCAGCAAATAAGGAGCATGGCACTGTTCAAACATTAGAGACCTGAAATGTATGTAAAGCTGTCCTCTTTGTAACTAGCCTACAGAGACCACAAAAACGAATTTCTATAGCATGCCCAGAACATTATCTCCTTTGTTCGTGCCTCAAGTACTGTGAGGGACAGAAGGGATTAGTTTGCACCCTAGTTTTAACAGCACGCATTTGAAAATAGGGATTTTTCTCACTGAGATGAAATAACTAAGTAGCATTTATAACCTGATTTTCAAAGTGAAAGACAAATCTACCACAAGCTTTGCTAAATCACTGCAGATAAACCAGCTGCAGAAATAAAACCCTATATATATAGATGATTTTGTTCTTAATTAAGAAGAATTTGGTCAAAGAGCTGCAATACATTGTGTGCTTTTGAGAGGTTTGGGGCAAGCTTATTAAAGTCAGTTACGTTCTTCTGGAAAAAATAATCAAAATTCATATAGTCATATGAGGTTACTGAACTGAAACAGAACTGTCTCCATACTTTAAGGTATTTTTGTACATCGAATTAATATAACCAGGTTTTCTCAGAGAAGTACCTCATAGTAAAGGAAAAAAAAGTCTTTCTGAACAAAGTATGTAACAAAATCTTCTGAGGCTGACTGACAGGGCCTTGGTCCTTTTTCACCTGATCTGACTCTGAAAATTAATATTTATTGTCCATTGATTCTCTCATCCTAACGGCAAATTTTAACTTTTTCAAAGATGTATTTCACTTCTCCTTTTTACTTCTCCTCAGAAATCCAACATTTCTAAAACAATTTACTGAGTAAGTAATCAAACCTGATTACTCAATCTGAGTACTCACGAAAATTAAGGTTATTTCCAGAGTCCTTATCTGTGAGTAACCTATTATATCTCAGATGTTCAAGGCATCCAGAAACAACTGCTCTGACTTCTTTTAGTTTATTATTCCCAGATCTGGGTATGCAACACCTCAACAGCTACTGAAACTGTGGCTGGATTTGCATAGCTTTTCCCACCGTCTGAGCATGTCTTCATGCATCAAACCCCACCATCTGTCACATCCATTTATCCAATTATACTGCCACACAGGTGCAGCATCCATTCACTGAATACTTGACAGCTCACACACACCAAGTTTTAAATAGATGATCTTAATTTAGACAGATAGCTTTACTATTATTAGCTAGTTTTAGGGAAGTTCTACATGAATGAAAATAACAACCTTATGTGGTATTCATGATACCCAATGGCTTTTCAAGTACTCTCTCCCAATAGAGAGTCATAGAATGGTTTGGTTTGGAAAGGACCTTAAAGCTCATCCAGTTCCAACCCCCTGCCATGGGCAGGGACACCTTCCACCAGACCAGGTTGCTCAAAGCCCCATCCAGCCTGGCCTTGGACCCTGCCAGGGAGGGGGCAGCCACAGCTTCTCTGGGCAACCTGTGCCAGTGTCTCACCACCCTCACAGTGAAGAACGTCTTCCTTACATCTCATCTAAGTCTCCCCTCTTTCAGTTCGAAACTATTACCCCTCGTCCTGTCACCACACTCCCTGACCAAGAGTCCCTCCCCACCTTTCCTGTAGGCCCCCTTTAAGCACTGGAAGGCCACTGTAAGGTCTCCCCGGAGCCTTCTCTTCTCCAGGCTGAACAGCCCCAACCCTCTCAGCCTGTCCTCACAGCGCAGCTGCTCCAGCCCCCTCATCATCTTCGTGGTCTTCCTCTGGACCCACTCGAGCAGGTCCATGTCTTTCTTATGCTGGGGGCCCCAGAGCTGGACACAGCACTGCAAGTGGGGTCTCACCAGAGCACTGACACTTCTTTTAGTTTTTCTACCACAAGACCAGTGATTTACAAGCTTATCAGAAAAAAAACCTTCAGAGGATAAAGAATGCTAAGAATGGAAGGTGAAAATGAATGTGGTTATTTTAGCTAAACACATTGTTTTAGGCTTTTCCTACATTAAAGATCAAAAACCACTTTTAGATAGTAAATATTTTCCAACACAATTTAGTAACTGAAAAGTCAAAACTGGCAAGACAACTTTTTTAGTGTTCAATTATTATAAATTCAGTTGTATCTTTAACATTTTGCAAGTTTTCTGTTATTTGAGGTGGGTGGGTAGTGTTTGTTTTAAAGAGTAAAATAAATTTCCCTGCTCTACTTACCAGTTGTTTTTCCTGTTTTTCGAGTGCTGCTCTATCTCTGGTTATAGCCCTCTGTGTACCTCTTAACTCTCGATTTTGCTCCTTTATTATATCTGGAAAGAAAATGTTTATAGCTGGGAAAAGTTTTCAATACTACATGAACATCTTATCTGCTAAGCACTCTGCAGACATGCAGTATGTTCGACAGCCTCCCTTTGTTCAGAATGAACTGTGAGCTATCAAAGAACTGTCAGCATTTCAAACATTTGAAATACAATTTTATGTATAAAACATGCCTATGTTTCAGCAGCACAGGCCATACTCCGTAACAAAAAGGCTATTTTACCTAGCGTGTTTCTTTGCACCACAACCATAGCAAGAGCCTTAACCACACAGTAGGAGCTAAGTACGCACCCTTTTCTGCAAGTTCAACCCTAATTCTGCATTAACACATCCACTGTGAGCCCACTGCTTTTCAGCCAGTCAGGGCCAACTGCAACAGGTAGATCAGCTGAAGAAACCTTAGATATGAGATCTCAGAGCTGTTAAGGAGTTCTCAGTTCCATTAAAACAGTGAAGATACTCCCAGATCCTGCATCCTGCTCTTCTCTGTCCTTATTCTGGTTTGACAGAGATTACTCTTCTCCACAAATGTACCACGCCTGTGCACGCCAAGTTCAAGTCAGGCTACAAAGCAATAGTGTTCAAACTTTTTCAATTAGCAGATGCTTAAGAACATTAAGATATGAAAGTGGATGCCTGTACAGCAAATTTAAGTTTCCTGATAACTGATGTAAGCCAGCAGAAGCTTGAACGCTGTCTCTCAGGTAAAACATATTATCCTTCACAGGAGTTTTGTCCACTGTATTAAAATTCTTTACTGGTAACATCCACTGATTAAAGCAAGTACTATTTACAATTTACCAATCATGCTAGTTGCAATTAACTTCCCTTAGAATTTACAGCATATGCTTGGGTGTGATTCACCTGGGCAAAGGTAGAGAAAACTGCATCTGACTCAGCATCCTCTGACCTTTATAGAGAAAGAAGTTAGTACTTTTTAGGAAGAGATTAATCATAACGTATGTGTCTACATGACAAGAGATAAACTTTGGGTGGGAGTTGAAAAGGAGCAGACTGTCACATAAACTTTGTTTAGAGCTCTTCTCATCCACTGAAGTGACATCATGGCAGGGTACTGCTATTGTACTTACAAAGTCTGAAGCATGTGAAAATCAATACCAACAGGCAGAGTTACTAACAGGAAAAAAAAGCATGAAGGATAAATTCTAGAAACCTCAGCCATCCTTTTCATGTTTTAAGGCCTGCGACAAATTCTCTACAAACAGAAAGAAGCATTCATGTTCCCCCATTCCCACAATCAGAAATACCGGAAAACACTCATTGCTGAAATTATTTCAACCTTAATAGGTTTGAATCAGAAAACCCCCAAACGTTCAGTGGCATTTTAAAGAGGGCACATGCACTATCCCGTCCCACCAGTTGTTTTTGGACAAATAAATACATATTCCAAACAAACTCTATGAAAGAGAGACTTGTTTTTACAGCGCTGCTACTGCTCCAAGAACTACACAGAAAGCATCTTCAGGAGGTGTAGGCTTTTCAACAGACAATAACGAAGAGCTGAAAGATGACACAGAATATAACACTGCGTTCTTCACACTGGCAAAGCAGCAATGAAAATTATTCTGAAAACAGTGCTACAGGCAAGTAATTCTGGAGGTAGACCAATGTGTATTACTTACAACAGCTGCACTTGTGAAAATGAAAGAAAAAGCTTAATAGCTACATACAAGACTGACTTTTCTACTAAGAATAACTATTTAAAAAAAAAAATCCCTTAGCACAGAAAGCTTGAGAAGCAGGAACTTCAAGACGATAAGAAGCAAGAACTGTACTTGTCAGGAGATAATAAGGGTGAGCACAATGCTCATTTCTGTTGTTTCTGATCTCACATAGTGACTCAAACTAAGGATAGCAATAAACTGAAAGCAATGACTATCTGCAGTTACAGGCCCCTTCACTTGTTTTTCCACGTGAAGGCCAAGTTGAGAACTCTCTGTGATAACTGATGCCAATTCCTGGCTGTACTCCAGCAGATACAAGAAGACAGGGTATTCCCAGGACCGCCACTCCTGTGTGTCACGCTGCTGCCTCACACAGCAGGGTGAGGAGGAAGCACCTCCATTCCTTAAAACAGGTTGGACAAGAGCCATCCCGCAGGGCTTGACCTGGCTCCTATAATCCGCCTTGGTCATGGAAGCTTAATGCCATCTCCCTCTTGCTCCCCTCTCAAGTGTTGCATCAAAAATGGGAAGAGACAAGTGGGAAACATACGTATTCTCCCTTGGTGACACACAATTGGTCGATGCACAGCGTCACTTTTGGCGAGCCGTTTTTGAACGAGGACCCACTTGGTTTGACACAGGGCACCCAACACGCCAGACAGCCGGCTCTGGGGCTCGCCAGCCCCCTGCCTGCCTCTGCCCTGCGGCCACGCCTGGGGCACACCGATTTGGAGGGCTGGCCCTCACCTACGGGACTGCTGTCAGGTAAGCGATCTTTTTTGGCTTTACTTTGGAGAGCCGTTAGTTCTACACAAGTTTAACCGCTTTGTTGACAAAGCGACGACAGGAACTTCAAGACCAACTTGGTTTGAGACCCGCGTACAGAGCCAAGGGCGCAAGCGACGACGGCTCCACCGAAGCCTGGAGCCACGGTCGGCCGCCTTCTCCCCGCCGCCAAAAGCTGGCTCCCGCAGACCGGCACCGCTCGGCTCCCTGTTCTTCCCCGGCTCCAGCAACTCCTCGCGGGCCTGTTTTGTTCCCTCGCTGCCAACGAGAGACGTTCCTCCTCCTCCCCCCCTCATCCACAGACAGGGATCACCAGGGCCCGGCTCCCAACACCTCGCCC